AAAAAATTTGAAGTTGGTTGTTCAAAACTTGTAGTTTCTATGGATAAATAACAAACATTTGCTTTAACAATTACATACTGTCAATTGAAGCTTTCAATTATTGTGCATTTTAAGAGTGTTACGAAAAATTAAACTTTTTGTTACACGTTTTCAGAAATGGCAAAAATGCATTTATATCTGGGTAAGTTTGGTCAGGCTAAAACAAGGTTTCGAGGGATAATTGTCTGTAATTCTGGTAATCACAGATGAATGGCAAGAGAATAGTGCAGTAGCTGCAAGGCGTTATGCGGAAAAATATCCCAATCGGAATACACTATAGTCTATTTTTATGTATGAGAGAGTATTAAAATAATAAAGCGTTCGTAATCCATAGGCGTATCACTTCTTTTAGTAGACAGTTAAAATATTTTTTGAAGTTATTCCTCGAGTATACACTTATATTGTTACCTAATTAACCTGCTTATAACTTCTAAACAGCTGAAGGTAAAAAAAGTACAATTTTTTCTTAAATGTTTTATTTTTCCACAAGGTATGTTAAGAACATTGTGTCAAACGGGTTATGTAGGTATAAGGGTTTAAACTTTGACTTTTAAACGTTACGTTCATAAATAATAATTTTAATATAAAAACTACTTCTTACCTACAAATCCAAATCAGAATCGAAATCAGAAGATGAACTGTCGCAACCAATATTTACAATGAGTGGCTCGATCATTTCATCAGTAATATTGTGCAACTTCCACATTTTCTCTTCTTCTTTAATCGTATGATTTACTGCCTTTTCCCAGTTTTCAGGCTTCACATTATTTACAGCCTCCAAAAACAACTGTTTAACATCACTCATTTTAAAAGAATTATTTTTTCTTCAAACTTCTCCCTTTATCTGTGCCCATATCAGTTCAATCGGGTTTACTTCACAATGATATGGTGGTGATCTAACCACCGTCATCACACGATTTTTTGCAATTTCATTAATTTCATATTTTTTGAATTTCTCTTTATGAAGGGAACACAAATGATACAGTTCTTTTCTCACAGAACCGGGATGGAACTTAATATTCTTTGAATTTAGCGAATTCTGTAAATCTTTTTTTAACCACTTGGTTGTGGGCAAGTCTCGAGTGATAACTTGCATTATCCATTACTATTATACAGTTCTGAGGAAGATCTATAATTTGTTCGAACCACTCTTTAAAGACATCTGCATTTATGTCCTCATGGTAGTCACCGGTACGAGTAGATTCAAAAGTCAGTAAACCACCTTTAACAAAACCTTTTGAACTACCGATGTACTATTATTAGTCTGCGCCCCTTTTCTGATGGTGGATTTAAACCAGTAGATAAATTATTTAAAAAAGCCTGTCTTCGACTTGTAACAGTTTCATCTTGCCAAAATTTATTTGGTTTATGTCCCTCGTTGATCCATGTTTCATCTAAATAAAATATATTTCTTCTTTGGTTTCTCATTTCTTTTATAGTCCTTAGGTAATTTCTTCTCCATACTACAATATCGCTTCTTTCTATTAAAATAGACTTTCTGGAATGCTTTTTCCATAGAAAACCTATTTCTTTTAAAAGTTTCCATAGTGTGCTTCGACTCATTTCAGGGTAATCCTTATCATCTCGAACCGTGGCAAGAACTTTCTCTACTGTCGGAAATTCTTTTCTAAAGAAGAACGCATGCACTTTCCTTCGAAGTCTTTCTTTCAAAAGATTTTCTAATTGAAATTTTGGTTTTCCTGGAGCTTTACGTGCTGTTTGAAACTCGCCACATTTCTCTTCTTTAACAACATTGTAAATCGTAGATTTCCCAACACCAAGCGTACTACTAATTCCACTGTGTCATCAACACTTTTACATAAATGTTTGTCTGTAAATGATTTAAAACAATTAAATATTAATGTTTTTGCATTAACTGTTAAAGGACCGATTTTTTGTCGTTTACGCGGTCCTTTCAAATTTTCCATGATCACACTAGAATTCACACTGCACCTTGCAAGTTGCAACTAAACGACATTTAGTAAACTGTTAAGAATACACAACTTGGACCTCCTTACTAAATGGAAAACCTATAATCGTATTTTCGGTGAAATTGTTGGGAAGGTATTTATCTGCTTATAATTCGATTACTGTAAGAAATTTTTGGAATTAAAATAAAACAAAATTGGCAAATAGGTACTTATTGAAAATAATCTTAAGATACGGCTATGTAATCTTTAATGCACAGGGCCTTTGGCCTGTCCAAACCTTTTTCTATTGTTCTGTACAGCTTATGTTTATAAAGGACCAATAAAAGACCCAAAACTTGTAATAGCTCAGGTACATTTATTACAATTTTAGGAAATATTTAGATTTTTCTGTAAAAATATTTAAAAAGACCGTACTAAGTTTTGCATTAGAAATGCTGTTTTATTACTCTCTCATACATAAAAATAGACTATAGACAGACGATTATTTTTTTCCATTGACCGTCGTTTACGGGAGACGGGTACTTTGCGACCGCAACTTGCTGGTAATAGTGGTCGTCCAAAAATGGATACAAACGATGAGATTTTAGAATTAGTCAAAGAAAACCATGGAAGCCGTATAAGGGTTCTAGCTACTCATTTAGATGTTGGTCACATGATGGTTTGGAGAAGATTGAAGGAACACTTAACAACCGTTCAAGAATTACTAGATGAAGATTATCCTGAAATGGGATTTTGTGATTGGTTCTTAACGGAAAACAATCGAAATATCAATTTCATTAATCATATTTTGTTTACCGATGAAGCTACTTTCAATAGAAATGGCATTACGAATTACCATAACGAACATAAATGGGCCGAAGAAAATCCTCACGCAAAAAAGTGGCTCATCACCAAAGGACTTTTAAAGTCATTGTTTGGGCAAGCATTATGAATAATAATTTAATAGGACCAGTACTTCTTCCAAATAATTTAAATGGTGCAAATTACTTGCAGTTCTTACAAAATGATTTACCAGATTACTTGGAAGAGGTAAATTAAGGAATAAGGCAATTCATTTTGATAACGAAATTAGGAAATATATTTTCCGTCTGTACCCTGGATTTTGGATTGATGCACTTATTTCTTGGACAGTCAGAAGTCCAGATCTTAACCCTATTGACTTTTGCTTCTGGGGTGTTATGAAAGAGGACGTGTATTCTGTTGAAATAATCGACGAACAACAACAGAGACATCGAATCATTGAAAGTGCAAATCTATGGAAAACTATTAATGTATTTTTAACGTTCCTAGAAACTGCTGCAATAAATTCGTTAAAATATAATAGAACTGAAGTAATTACTGAACCCGTAGAAATAGCAAAAACGTTTAACGAATATTTTATATCTGTAAAAATTTGGCTAGTAACATTAATAAAAATATAAATTACACTGAAAAAAGAAGCTTGTAACAACTCAATTTTTTATGTATCCATCGGATGAAACTGATCTAAAAGAAATTATAATGCTTCTAAAAACTAAAAGAGGCTCCAGGGTATGACGGTATAAAAGCAAAAACTTATTAAAATTACATTGCTAAACCACTATAATATTTAATAAATAAATCATTACAAAAGGAGCACTTCTCATCTGCTTTTAAACTCACAATTGTAACCCCAATTTACAAGAACGGAGAAAATCAAGAAGCAAACAATTATAGACCAGTCTCCCTAATTAGTAGTCTAGCAAAAATATTTGAAAAAGTGATACAGAGACTAAATAAATTTTTAGAAAAATACAAATTGCTATCATTGCAGTACGGTTTTAGGCAAAACAAATCTACATATTATTAGTTATTTAACAGAAAATATTGATAATGCTCTAGAAAAATCTAGGCCCTCAATTGGAGTTTTCCTGGATTTATCGAAAGCGTTCTACACGGTCGACCACAGAATTCTGCTAAACACATTAGAAGACTTGGGAATTAAAGGCATTGCACATGACCTATTCAGAAATTATTTAATCAATAAAATACAAAAAGTAAAAATAAAATACTTATAGTAATGGAAAAGAAATTTCATGTGGATTGCCTCAGGGGACAGTTCTGAGCCAAATACTTTTTAAGATATACTTAAATAATATTTTTATGATAGAAATAAATAGCTAAATCGTCAGTTTTGCGGACGATACCATATTGTTTTGCGATGACAACAACTGATTTAACCTAAAACATAAATTAGACGTATGCGTGTAGACTAGCTGTTAACTGCTCATAACTGATTCTATCTCTTTTAGACCCAATGCTAGGTGAGAGTGAGTTCGAGCCCACTGGAGTTGAACAGTATATTTTTTCTACGACTCATTAACAAATATCTAAAAATTGAAAAATCGAATAATCGTAAAATCGAAAAATAAAAAAATCGAAAAAGAAATTCCGTAACGAAAATAAACCTAACACCCCCCACTCCGACCGGTACAGCGGTGCGGCGTTGAAAGCCGTGCATCGTTTAACGTCGTTTCAGTTCGGCAGATTTCGGCACGGTGTTTGTGTGCGTGCGATTAGACGTATGCGTGTAGACTAGCTGCTAACTGCTCATAACTGATTCTATCTCTATTAGACACGATTTCTGAAAAATTAAATTTGAAAATGAATAATGATCCACAATAATCCACAACAAAATATGGGACCACCATTGACACGGTATTTTCCAGATATTTAGAGGATATCAGGATATCAACTCTCAAACTTATGTTTCTTATTTCAGTTACCATAAACCTAGTGCCACACGTATTTTTTTTTTTTTTTTTTTCATTAAGTTATCGAGATTAAGTGGAAGAGCATCTTCTATATTTTCATATGCAAATCTGAAAGCTGAACTCTGCCTTTTAGCAAATTATTTTATAATAAATTGTACTATTTTTATTTTGTAATTTTCACATGCCAATAAAATCATATTTTATCCCCATATTATTAAGTGTTCAGTAATTCTTGCTTCATCTAGTTTGTTTCCAGCACCATGTTATTTTTTCGTTGTAAATTATTTATTTGTTTCAGAATGGATACCCAAGATCAACCAAACTCCATATGTCACGTCCAGTCCATTCACATGTACCCACTGCAGCCATCCAATGTAAAAGATGTCCCGTTCGGTCTACTATCCGGCGAGACGGTCCTTCATTCCGGAGACTCTGTAGACGGCGTGGTGGTGGTCACTACTTACCGCCTCTATTTGCTGTACAGGAACAGGCCGTACAATATTCCGATTTCTCTTATTGAGTTCGTCGAGATCAGGGAACTGTTTAATTTGCACATTGGGTGCAAGGATGCCAGAACGTACCGGTAAGTTTACTTATTTTACTTCTCTTGGAAGCTAAAGTAATAGAAAATGTCTTTTATAATTTAGGAAACTTTATTAAACAATAAATGTGCATCTTTCGCTGAAATTACGAAAGATAAATCATCCGCATGTGATGTGTAATAATCTTTTATTATTTACATATAAGATTATTTATTTCTCTAATGTGGTATGTTCAATAAAAAAGGGAACACAATTGCAAGAATATTTGTTAAATCTTTTAATAACTAATGATCCCATAACTTTATTATTGGTTGCAAAACTTGAAGGTTAAGAACCATAATGATCAATATACACTTACGATACACGTGAAAAAGACGATAAATACAAATCTTAAGTGAATATGAACTCATATTTGTGCTTTCAAGTCTTAATAGATTATATTACCTTGTGGCTCCGGTTCACTCTAGTGGAGATGGGAGTGGGTGGTTACTTTGTAATCTGGGAAAAATACAATATTTTGATGTTGAGTTGAACGCCAGGTAGATCTTTAATATTGAGCCTCTTTAAATCCAGAAAAGTCCTACTTTTAAATCTACCAAATAAATAGGAAATAAAAAAAAACAACCTTAACTTAAATCTTGTTTATTTTACAAATCGGAAAAAAACATTTTGTCTTTCCCATTACCTCCGAATTAATGACCCTCACATATCCCTGTATTAATAATTGTCCCTCCAATAAGGTAGGTCATATCAAAAATGAATACACTGTCCTACTTACATATTTATATATAGGCCTGCAATAACCCCAAAATTCTTAAATATATGTAATGCCTTAGCAGTTAACCGTAACTAGTCATAAAAATCCTTTAGTTTCTGTGTAAACAGATTTAAATGCCCAGAGACATACTCTAAAATAATAGTATCAATAACACATATTTAATAAACATCATCTAAAGGTAAAACACTCAATCCTCCTTAACGTCGTGTTATATGAACTATACTAAAATTAAAAAACGTCATGGGCCCTTAATAACACATGAGCTAGCATGAGTTATACCTAATATCAATTTAATATCTTATAAGATAATGAAATATAACATCTACGTATCAGTTGTAGGCCAAGTGTTACCCCAAAAACGTACCCCAAAGTAATGAAAATAAAATCTAGTTTCACTTATCTCCTAGTCCGTGATGTCAACAGGCAAAAGATGCCGCTTGTGGCACTGCAGTCGTACTATGCCAAATCTCTGTAGTAACAGCAATGTAGACGAGGCGTTCCAAACTCCAGAGCAATTCATCTTCAGTAGTAGAAAAAAAACCACTGTCCTAAACAGTAACATCAATTCCCAGTCGAGACACTGGTAGCAAATAGTATCTTCAATATCAAACCGAAACGCTGGTTCCAAACACTGGGCCCAAAAACCCTAAAATGTACAACCCCTATTCAGAATGGTGTAACTTAATTTGATCCCACCCAGTTATCTCTTAATTCAAGACAATAAAAAATAAAAGTGAAATCTAGAGCCACCCAGAGGGTTGAAGATAGTGCCTGCCAGAGCAAGGACTATTCAAGCAATACAACAAAAACACCCAATTAAAACTTAATTAGCAAAATTCAATACAGCAAAAACTGTACCCCACATTCAACCCCCTAATTTACTATCTGAAAGAATGTCTATTAACAATGAATGAATAGCAATATTTACAGGATAAATTACAAAATTAAAAAAAATAAAACCTACCTCTTATCTCAGAAGGTGTAACTTCAATCAAAAACGCAGAGAAATCTGCTAAAACCTTCTTAAAACCAGTGTATCCTTCAATAGACGGTCTGAACTACGATCAGCCTTCAATATGAGACTGCTACTACATCTACCAATTAGCTGAACTTCAAATTTAATTCTCCTCAAACATGAGTTAAGAAGCGGCACTTTACAATCACGAAAATAACGGGCTTAACTACACGTTAACCAAATTCAACTTTACCATTAGTGATTCTTAAAATATTGAGCTAGTTTTCTAACACTCCTCGGCATGGGATGATTCCATAAAATCACAAACACTAGAAAAACATCTGTTGATGAATTTTCAGTTCAAACCACCATTACGACCTTTTCTCAGAAAAAGACCACGTATAGTTTCGTATTTCTCCAACGAAACCTCGATCGCGCAGAATCGCCGTAAATAAAACCTCTCAGCCAATTATCACTCCCGGACAAGTACAGTTCACGAGTGGCAACCCTGCGCCACCAATCAGCTTTCACGACTGCGAAAATAAAATTAACAGTATCATGCTGGTATCCCTGTATTATCCAATAGAAATCCTAAACAAACGAAACGCCAAAATATACCCAATGACCTGCGAACGACTTTACCAAATGGAAAGTATTCTCTGCAGTATTTATATACGAGTATGATCAGACAGCTGTCTAGCAGTCACTCACAACTATAAATATATCTCCACTTATTTTGACATTCGATATCCAACGAATATAATCCAATAAACCTGTTCAACGCGTATAAATTGTTGTTTAGTACTTGTGAAAATTATTAAGAATATCCACTACAATTAAATCATGTCTCAGTTAACGAAATGTGCCGTTTGTAAAGATCATGGTTAACATTTACCACAAGGATTGTTGTCTAGTGTTTGTGAAAATCATTCAGAATATGTGCCGTTTTGTAAAGATTATTGTGAACATTTACCACAACAAGGAGGGATATTAAAGGTAAATTTTAGCATAAACATTACAATTTGTACAAAGAAGGTATTATAAAACGAGTTTACCTATGCCTATTTGTGTTGAACATATTTTAGATAATAACTAGATAGGAAAGTCATGTGTTTTTAATAAAAGGCTTATAAATCGTAAGAATTTTCATCTCGGGGGAGCCATGGTCCCCATAACCCACCTCCCCCCTGGATCCGCCATAGCTGCCAAGTAACAATAACGCGCTCGGGCCGGGCAAGTATTTTCTGATGTATGGGGAGTGGTTACTCAACCCGCTGTATCTTCGTTAGTTTTGCTCCGATTCGTCTCAAATTTTCACACAATATTCTTGAAAGATGCTCCATTCACAAAATCAAATATAAAAAAATGCAAAAAAAAAGTTTTAAAACTTTACTCCCCCCCCCCCCCCTTAAGAGAACGGATTACTTATAGGATTAATGCACATGCCTTAAATTTGCGAAATCACCATACTATCGCCATGCCGCAACATAGAACCTGCCATGTTTCAAGGGTCTATTAGTTATAATGTTGCTAAATTATACAATTCACTAAATATACACCTAAAATTATATTTCAGTAGAAGTTCATTTTACTTGCTATCCGAGCAAATGCAAATGTATAATTTATGTTCTTCGTATAAATCTAATTCATCCTTAGTCATTTACTGTAACGTAGGTTAAGTTAGTTTAATATAGTTTTAGGATTTGTGATATGGTTGAGTTGAATGGCCATTTAGGCTAGACTACGCCATTTATACTGTGTAATTTTTTGCTGGTTTAATAAAGACGTTTTTTTATTATTATTATTATTATTATTATTAACAATTAAAACTGCGGATTTTTAGAAAAAATCGAAGAACGTTGTTGAAACGGTCCAAGAACTGATGCGAGATGTTCCCCATGGCCCGTATTTATAAAAAGAAGCCTTACCTTTTGCTTTTAAAAAGTAAAGCAATTCCTTCAAGGTATATGTATAAAAAAAAGTGAAGGAAAAGGTTTTGCTTCGAGGGGTTTGCTTTAAAGTAAAAGGTTTTACGTTTTTCGTATTTATAAAAAGAAGCATTTGCTCAAAAACTAAAGGATTTGCTTCTAAAAGAGGAATCTAGGTTCGCATCAACTTTTATTACTCTTTTCAGTAGTTGCCCTGCCATCATACAGCAAGTAACATAAAAAGTTGTGTATTCGTGTGTTAAAATCTATCTGAAAAGTCTTGTCTAAGTGATCTTTGTGTGGTCCCAGATATATGTTTGTTATGGCTAATATGGTACATTTACGTACCAGAAAATACTACAAACCAAGACGTACGCCACGTGAATCAGATTTCAAAACGTTATTTAGATTTGAGGAGGAGAATGTGGTGTGGTTGGCGGAGCACTTTCTTGGCGCAGATCCCGAAACTCGTGGAGCAGCCCTGTCACCTGTGCATAAAATGAAAGTATTTCTGCGTTATTGCGCAAACCCTGGATTCCAGAGCGGAATTGCTGAAGAATTGGGATGTACACAACCCACAGTGTCATGCGGGCCAAAGATAAGTGGTTGACCAGGTTCCATTTCCCAACAGCTATTGGGGTTATTGACTGCACGCACATTCGTATTGAAAAGCCAGCCCAATTTGGAGACGAATATATAAATCGAAAAGGTTGTAGCAGTATTAATGTGCAGGTCACATGTGACCAGAATTGTGTTATAACTAGTATAGATGCAAGTTGGCCTGGATCAGTTTATGATTCTCGTATATGGAAGGATTCGGCAGTGTGTGAAATCATGAAAAGGACAAGAAACACTGTCTTATTAGGTGACAGTGGGTATGGTATAATGTCGTGTCTCATGACTCCTTACCCCAACCCCCACGAGGAATATCAGACAGCCTTCAACAGGCTGCTTACATCAGAGCGAGTTGTGATTGAGCATACATTTGGGCAACTGAAACGGCGATTTCCTATTCTGAAGTATGAATGCAGAGTGAAATTTAACAGTATTCCAAAAGTTATAATTTCTTGTGCTGTGTTACACAATATAGCTAAGCAACTAGAAGATGCAGATTTTCAAGAAGATGAAGAAGAGGAACAACAAGACTTGCAATATATAGAAGAAGAAAATGTAGATGCTATTTGCGCACAGGGACAAGGACGGCGAGAAGAATTGGCTCATCTTATTACTAATAACAATATCGGTTTATAATGTTTAAATCCTTTCGTTTTATGCACAGCCCTACCAGTAATTTTGTATAAACTGCATATTTTTTATTACGTCTTGACATAACAAACACTTCAACAAAACTATTGAATTTCTAATACACCATGGTTTATT